TCAACAGATAGACGACAGGGATTTCGCGCTCTACACACGGATGGTGCACGAGGCGAAAATTGGGCCCACCACGCGGCCACAAATTGCCGGCCATTCACGGGTTCCACGTACGTGGACGCGTTTTTCGGCCACGTTCGTGGGATGTGGTGGGAACAGTGAATGGTTAGACGCAGTTTCGGAGGAGCTTTTCGAAATTTGTGGAAACTTTTTCATGGAACCTTCGTCCGAGAATTGGGAAATTGAAGGTTGTTAGGAAGGGAGAATTCACAAAAAGTCTGGCCTGTTATTTCATACTGCTTCTTTTTCGGATGAATTGTCTTCTAGTCGCAGTTTCACGAGAAACATTTTTTATTCTACCTATAAGATTGTTTTGGAGATTTGGAAGTAGGTTTCTTAAAAGTTAAGGAGACTGTGACTAAACGAGATTCAGGAAGATTTGAGGAAAGTACTTTGCTACCTGTTATTCTTCTTTTTTAGAATAACGTGTTATTTTCTATAAGAAAAAATTTCTTCGATTTACAGTACCATTCGCTAAAGTGTTCCTATAGTTCCCATGATATTATCAATTCCTCCCCTAGAGACGGTTTGTTATATCCATAAAAAAATCGCTCCCTCCATCGAACAATATGATTCGCAAAAAAGAAACTCCACGTTCTAATTCTACCTCTCCTACCTAAAGCTGCGTCGATTATTAAAATCACGGGGAAAAAAGAGGCAGCTAGAGCGAAAGGGGTAAGGGAGGAGCGTCGACTAAATCCTAAGAGGCTATAGTCGTCAGCTGAAACCACAATCCAGATACACACGCGGTTTCCGTCGTATGCTCTTTCCCGAACTATAATAGTTCGCCGACCAAGTATCTGTCGACACATCGCGTTTCTCCTCGCACACGAAACTACCCCTATACTCGCTTCTTCTTTTTCCTCGCGTTGTTCGGAGAAGTTCGCGCTTGAAAGGATTTTCGATCGGTTCGAAGGACTGAGGAAAATGTGTGCCGCGACCGTAGAGGCTTTGAATCTTTAAAACGCGATGAAGCACGTTTCAACGGAAAATACAGACGTAGTTCGAACACATAATCCAGCGAATTATAATACCAGTGGATTTTAAGTTGAACACGGTAAATAATGCGTTTTTCTTTTCTTTTCTCTTTTATTTAAACGAAGAGATTCCAATGGCTAGTTTTTCCACTGTTAGCGGTCAAAAATCGCTCCTCTCCCGCGAATTCGCGAACGAGTCCGGCCACGCGATTTTCTGCGGTTTCTCGCAGAGACTTCTCGTGTTTCGCCTGGCCGCCCGTCAATTTTTCTCACGGCTCTTGCCTTACGGTGCTACCTTCTGCCGCTAGCGACGCTCTCATGAAGATCCTCCACCGAAAATCGCGTTTAAATTGACCGCTACAGAGTTCAGTATTCTTTCGAATTCAGGGAATCATTCTACGTCTCTATTTCACCTGAGTGACTCGAGATACTGAAGGAATGACCGAACAAACCTTTCAGATCTATTTGCTTCCAAACGAATACTATGGAGATCACTGTAACCTAGACATTCGATGATTACATCAACGAAATCAATCCAAGGGGGTTGAAAATCACCACCGACCCCCCCGAGGACCATAAACAATCAAAAGTATACAAGACGAGGACAAAAATCATGGTGCAACCAATCGAAGCTTACTTTGAAAACAAGGCATCGAAAAAGTTTATGAAAATATTTTCAAAGAATTTTCCAGTTGCACTACGATTTAGTTCTCACCCCGTATAATGGTACAATTCAAAGTTGACACTTACCGGCCACTCTTCGTGATAACCATTTCCGTGCCCAGCTTGTGGAACTTCTCCCAGAGCTCCTTGCCCTCGAGAGTTACCTTTGGATCGTCGACGACACCGTCCTCCTCTGGGTGATGAGGAGGTACGAGAGGATGGTGAGGGCCAGCGAGAGGGTGGTGCGGTGCCAAAGGGTGTGGCGAGGTGTGCAGCATCCCCGGTGGTAAGGGAGGCCTGAGTGGTCTCATTGCAGGCCCACCGGGACCACCCTGATGATGGTGGTGCAATGCTGCCGCCGCGGCCGCCAGGACGGCTGCTTCCTCTGGTGTGTGAGGACCTAGGCCTAGACCTGTAATCGAATAATTTTTATTCTTAATTTTTTCACCTGTTTAAGTTACTTTAATCCATCGACGTATGAGTATTCGGATAGCCTCTACGTCGGCTTTTTTTTTGTAATAGCTTTCTAGCTTTGTAATTGAGAAGGTAATTTTTTCATCAGTTTCAGTAGATACTTTAATCGATGGAAACATGAATATTGAAGCAGATTGTATATCAGTACTTTTGTGATTAATTAAGTGGCTAGCCGTCCATTTTTTTTTTTTTGTAATACACTGAATATAAGTGTTCTTCAGAGGATTGTGATAAAGATTTTAATAATATTTCTATTTTTGCTTAGCTTAATAAAATTGCCAACCGATTGGATAGATTTAACATCTCCTACCGTATCATTCATAACGAATGATTTTTATATGCATACCTACTATTCTAAGAATTATTGTTCCATAATATTGTTAGGTATAACGAACCGCCGTTCAGTTCTACATTATCAATTTTTTCGTCACGGGGTTCTTCGCCAATTTTTCCAGGAACCTTTTTAATCGTTCGGTCGGTAATGTATTAAGAGCCTAATTTTAATCTAAATATTCTCGACAAGTAAACACAAGTATTATGTATCAAAATTGTTACCATTTCTTCCTTGTTCTTCTACCCCATACAACGAACCATGTTGATTCTAACTTTTTCTTTCAATATCGGTATGGAATTTGGTCCGAATTAAATCTGAATACACCGTTAATTGATCGCTAATGAACGGAGGACGAAAGTGGAACAGCACGGGATTAAAATACAGAGAGGAAGTACGAAAGTTATTAATTTTATAACGCCAACAGTTAAATAACTCGATACTCGTGAACGATAAACTCTATCTTCGACGTTGGCCGCCGTGAATCGACAACAGTACGCCACACCGTGCCAGTTTGATAATGCACGTTTACAATTCCCCGACTGTTTAATTAAAATATTATCAACGTTTAATTCCGACCGAATTAATAACGCCACCGCAAAAGTAACGGTAACATATCAATTTTCCTTCTGTGCTTCGACGTGCGCATAAAACACGGAATGAAAACGACTCGTTGAAAAATCATCTTCCGATTATACTTGTACATGCTTGACACAACCTTTATTCGATTATCAACGAGCGTCCAAAGGCCTTTCGATTACTGATCAATCGCCGAATTTCATTTTAATCCGCGTTCAAGCCCAGCAGAATTATCGTTAAAAATGATATCATCCCTTGAAATATATGTTCTTCGATTATTTCAAGGATTCAAACTTTCTGAAGTGACAACATCACACATTTCGTTACACGTTACACAGTACAAATTTCAAACTTCCCATCGTTACGTCCCTTAAACGAAGATTTCACTGCAAAACTGAAGAGAATCCCATTTGTGAGAATTCAAAGATCGCACAGATGTAACCTCAATTTTTCGAGGAGATCCATAGGACTACACAGAAGTCGATCAGCACGATCATCGAATCGATCATTGTACGAGGAGGGCAATTGGCTAGAACAGAGATTGCTCTATTGACCCTGATGTACGCGTCAGCTCTATTTTTAAGGTGCTGCGTTCACTCTGCACCGAGGAGAAACGATGAAGAAGTGGAAGCGTTCTCGCGAGCTGGCTCGCGATTTTCCTTCGCAGAGAGAAAGGAAACTTTCAAACTTCTTCCGAACAGAAGAGCAGCTATCGGCGTCTTGATGTAGCAGAAGAAGGGAAGAGGAGGAAAGGAAAAAGTAACCGGAAGTTTCACGGGGGTTGCGAGCTGCTAGCCGATCCACCCTCGCGAACTTTAAGCGGCTGTCTTTCACTCTTTATCCCTTGATCTCGTTGATTCTTCAAGCTCGAATCCGGACTTCCATCGTGTCGTCGATCATGTCTCAATTGGAACGATTACGGCCGGAATCTTTTTAGTAATCGGATTCGGTTCTTTAAGGGAGGGAGGATCTGGTGAATTCATTGGGACTAGCGTTGATTTGCTAAGATATATTTAAGTCGATGAGATCCTGAGTAGATTTCGAGTAGATTCAGTGCGAAGCTTCAAATGCATTGCGTGGATTTTAGATAAGTATCGACTAGACATTGGGTGGATTGGAAGTGAATTTTTGAGTAGACGTTGAATAGAACTTAAATACCCCGAGTAGTTTAGTTTTTGTTTAATTAACTTTGAATAATTCTCAAGTGTGTCTTGAGAAGTGCAGTACACCTATCCCTCGATTTACACGGTACTTTATTTACACGATTTCACTTTTACACGGTTTTCAAAATAACGGCTTTCCAGAAATATAAACTGTTAAAAATATTTGTACAGTCATTTTTTAGTACCGTTCGTTTGTTAACACTGGCATTAAACCAAAAAATGAATTTTTTCGTCGCGGATCTTTCATTGGCTGTTTTCGCCTTCGTCGATCGCTCGCTCGAAACTAAACCCTGACCCTGAATATTTTTTGTTTTTCATTTTCATTTTATTTTCATTTTACATTTAAAATAATGAATTTAATTCAATCACTGGCTAAATTATGCGCATTTTCTTTTTTCCCCGATTTACACGGTTTTTCATACAAAAAGCCATGATTTCGATTTATACGGTATTCTGAGAAACCGATCATCCGTGTAAATCGGGGGACGGGTGTATTGATTAAATAATCCTAGAGTAGACATTGAGCAGACCGTAAGTGTCTTGAGTAGTCTAGTATTTATTTAGCAATCTTTGAGTAGATCTTAAGTGTGCCTCGAATAGTGTAGTACTTATTGAAAAATCCTAGAATAGACATTGAGAAGACCTTAAGTGTATCTTGAGTAGCATACTATTTACCGAGTACTCCTCGAGTAGACGCTGAGTAAACCTTGAGCCTCTATTGAGTAACTGTTGAGCAGTTAATCAGGTAAATCTCGGATGGGCGTTGACTAAACTTTGAGTGGACTATAATTTATCAAAAGACAGTGTGCATTTCTCAAAGAAATTTCTTAAAGTTCAACTCGCTCTTCCCTATTTAATAAAGCGATTAACTAAATGTTTTACATCGCTCTGCACTCTAAGCTAAACTATACCAATATTTACTCGAACAGAATCGCTTTATTCATCATCCTGTAGGAGTATAAAATTCCGACAACGTCAAATCCTTATAAATTCGTCGGCTCACTTTCAACTAAATTGAGAATCAACAACAAGCGACACTTAAGATAACGAACGAAGAGAGGCGATCGACTTTGAAATTCCGATTAGCCGCCGACGTCGTCCATTTGCTCTCTTCGAAATTTATCGATAATTTTTTCCAGCCTCCGCTCCGCGGCATTATCGTTTCAATTAACACAAATCGCCATTTAATTTTCGATCGATAATCGACTGATTAAAAGTAGAGAACTCCTCGTGATTTTGATCCCGTTGCATAGGATCTCTATTGGCAAGGGAACCTTCGTAATGGAACCTAAACCGACCACCATCGGCCGCTTTTTCATGCGAACAATTTTGTTATTTACAACGGCCTATCCTCCGATTCGCAACATGTTTTCTCCACTTCCGACCAATCACGAGCTACCTGTTGCACCGGAGAGAAAAAAGGAGGGTACCATCCGTTTTCGTTCGCAAAATTTCCATCTCTGGTCGCTGTCGAGCCACTTTTTTCTTTGACAACACATATACTATCGCGCATACTTATTTAAATTCACCATTGCGTGAAAAAATAGAGAAGATGTGCTCCCTTCTTCCAAAATTCACCACTTTCGAATTACTCTCTTCATTAAGATCGCTGTATTTTTAATATTCACTCTTCCTTTCGAATTCTAAGCAATTGTTAGTTCCCCTATTTTTTTCGCCAATATTCTAGCGCTTTCCTTCTCTATTTTCACGTTTAAAATCCGAAACATTTTCCCAATTCATCACCCGCTATCGGTCCAGTAAAGTACGATCATTTCCCTCAAAGCGAATTATCATAATGTCTCCTCTAATGTAACACTTTGTATTTAAAAGCTCCTTCTTCGCGGCGAGTTTATATTCGGGAACTCTCTCTCTCTCTCTCTTGCCACGCTGCGAATTATCATTCATAACGATGCAAATCACGATTATATTATTTATGACTAATGACGCGGTTAATAGTCGACGGCACGGACACGGCTCCCGGTATTTTCTTTTCCGTTTCAATCAATTACCGGCCGCGGCAGGGAAAAATGCAAAACCTGTTGCCACCGTTAATGACTTCATGATTGTTATCATACAAAGTCAGCGCGAGCCGATCATTAAATCGATACCGTTTATCTGCCTCGTATTTCCTTCTTCTCTTTCGTATTCTCCCTCGACTTTTTCACGGACAATGAGCCACGATCTATCATTTCTTCTTAGCTGAACAAATGGGAATTGATGTCATAATCTAGATCCCCAGATGTTTCTTTCGTTATTTTTAAATGGACAAATTTTAGAATACAGACAACGAAGAGTGTACGATTGAGAAAAGTAACCGAAGATCCCCGATATTCTATTAGGTTGTCCGGAAACAAATTGCGGTTTCCTGTTATGCCATATCTAGGGCTTCTCTATACTATATATTTGAAATTTATGTTTGTTAAGTAATATACCATTTGAACGCGTGGACGTCGCTCTATCATATGGACCGTTTATTTTGAAAGTGGTGTAAGTCCATTTTCTCTTGTTTCAAGAAAATTAAAGGTTAACATATCTGTTAATTAAAAAATTAAGGCAAATTATATGAAGTCTGGCAATGTTTCTACTGTTTTATCAATATGTAATTTGGTTATATAAAGTTCTTTTAGGCGTATTTTACTAAAATGATGTATACTTACGGGCTGCAAATGGACTTACACCACTTTCAAAATAAACG